ATTATTATTATTATTATTATTATTATTATTATTATTATTACTATTACTACCATGACTGCCATATGCCTCCCAGTAGCTGAACACTAACCACCAGTTTCAACAATACATTAAATGATAACAGCAGTTTATGAAGCTCTAAATATGTCAAGGGGAAAAAGTGAAAGAATTATTGCCGTGATGAAAACATTACTTGAGCTATGCAGTGTTTAGTGGTGATAAATGAACTGTGTTTGTATGTTTGGGAGTGTTTTACTCTCTCTCTCTCTCTCTCTCTCTCTCTCTCTCTCTCTCTCTCTCTCTCTCTCTCTCTCTCTCTCTCTCTCTCTCTCTCTCTCTCTCTCTCTCTCTCTTTCTTTCTTTCTTTCTTTCTCTTTCTTCCTGTTTCTTTCTCTTTCATTGTTAGTTAAAAAAATTAGTAGTGTTGTTAGTAAGGAAAATTAGTTGTGTTAGAAAAATTAGTTGTGTTGGAAAAATTAGTTGAGTTGTTTGTTTTCCAGGAAAGTATTAGTTGGGACCTTCATGTTAAGTATTTGTTAATACTCTGCAGTGACCTGAGCTGTGGCCGTAAGCCTCTGCATTATTACCATTATTCTTCTCTTTTAAGTTCTGATGATGATGATGATGATGATGATGATGATGATGATGGTTGGTGGTGGTTGTTATTGGTTCACAAGATTACGTCACAGTTCTCAAGGGTGGTGGGGGTGCAGTGAGGAGCCCTGTACAGTGGTCGGGCCAGGGGCGGAGGGGTGGGAAATGTCTCTCGGTGCATGTGTCAGTCAGTCAATCAATCAGTCAGTCAGTCACTCAAGATAGGGGATGACTGATGCATGATTAAGAGGTCATGTGCTCTCGGCAATGGGGGTAGTCTCTCTCTCTCTCTCTCTCTCTCTCTCTCTCTCTCTCTCTCTCTCTCTCTCTCTCTCTCTCTCTCTCAAAAACATACGTCTTTTTTTACCCACAGAGAAGCGTCGTCGTTGAGGCAGTAACCAATGAGAATTCGTTTATAATGACACGCCTGATAGTCATTGGCTGAATCAATCTAATTTTTTTGTATAACTAACGTCTCAATGATGCTTGTTTTTGTGACTATTTACGCGCATTAACCAGTGACTCTTAACCTCTGATGCCCAAAGCTTACAGACTTGAGCTATACGATTTAATGATGGATTATCAGAGATTTTTAATTGGAAAACTTACAAATGGCTGACACTCAAATAGGTAAGAAATTGGAGTTAGATTTCAATAGAGACTTTACTGGAATTAGACGTCTTTCTCTCTATCTCTATCTGAAGGTAGAAAATAAACTTCATTCACCTGGTACACCTCACCTGTAATTACTGGGGATTACCGTATTTTTAGCTTAGTGTCTTAGTGTCCAGGGGAACATCCGGACGGTAATTTAGGGTGGACGGACAAAACCTCGCTGGACAAAACTATGCTGGACGATTTATCAATAGAATTGTCCTCTCTCTCTCTCTCTCTCTCTCTCTCTCTCTCTCTCTCTCTCTCTCTCTCTCTCTCTCTCATCCTTCCTGTCTCACCCGTCCCCCCCTTCCTACTCCCCTTCCGCCACTATCCCGAACAACCACCTGCCTCCTCCTCCTCCCTCACCACCACCACCTCACCACCACCACCTCAGTTCACCCTATACACAGAACTTAACTCTCACCTTTACCGTATTTTTACCTGTATATGTAATTAACATCACTGCCATCTACACCTGTGTGTGTGTGTGTGTGTGTGTGTGTGTGTGTATGTATGTATGTATGTATGTATGTATGTATGTATGTATGCAGTAGATAGATAGATAGATGTATGTCTTTACCTGTCGATCTATATATATATATATATATATATATATATATATATATATATATATATATATATATATATATATATATATATCATATGAATCGTTGAATAAGACTGGCTAGGTGCTCCGTTGTTTCCTTGCTACATTGTGATTTTATCAAGATATATATATATATATATATATATATATATATATATATATATAACACTATATATATATATATATATATATATGTGTGTGTGTAGAGGTAGGCAGGGGTAATACAGCGACTGTCTTCTGGTTTAAAAAGATCATTGGTTCGATTACGGTGACATCCCCAGTCGACCCAGTCGTGTAATAAGTACCTTACCTTACTACATACCTTACTATACCTTACCATACCTTACCTTACCATACCTTACCATACCTTACCATACTATACCTTACCATACCTTACCATACCTTACTGCATACCATACCTTACCATACCTTACCATACCTTACCATACCTTACCATACCTTACCTTACCATACCTTACCATACCTTACCATACCTTACCATACCTTACCTAACCTTACCTAACCTAGCCTAACCTAACCTTACCTTACCATACCTTACCTTACCTTACCTTACCTTACCTAACCTAACCTTACCTTACCATACCTTACCTTACCTAACCTTACCTTACCTTACCTAAGCTTACA